TATGGATTTCTAAATATTATGAAATATCATACGGATTTCTTAACATTGTGAAATATCAAATGATTGTCTAATATTTTGAAATATCGTTTGTTTTTCTGAATATAAGGATATTTTTTTTCGTATATGTATTCGTGAGTTAAATGGTAACCCACAATGATTAAAATTCTTGCTGTTAAAAATTGAAATTTTAAATCAGAACTTTGAATTGAAATTGAATTAAAAGAATTCAGATTATTATTCTTAAATTAACATTGTTTCAAGTATCTACAGTTGTACTCCCTGTTTGTCTGTCTGTCTGTTTGTTAGTCCGATCATAACTCATGAACCCCTCAACCGATTTGCCTCAAATTTTGCTTGGGGCACTCGGGAGATCCACGGGAATTGTCATAGCGTGGTTTTGAGATTATAAATAGAGTAGGTCCACTTTTAGCGGTGAATATAGCTAAAATCGTAATTTATGACAAAGCGCGGGTAAGCAGTGGGACTAGCAATAGTTCCCTGAGCAACGCGCGCTAGTCAGTAATAATAGGCGTTTACAAAGATTAAAATCTTCACTTTTAGAAACTTTTTCTAAATCTTCAGATTGAACTTTATGTAATGTTCATCTGCGCGCCTGTCATTGTACTTTTACTAAAAATAGAAATCAAGAATGTTGAACTTATCATTTATCAAATCTAACAATTAGAGAAGTTTAAAGTACAAATTCTTCACTCTTCAATTCAATCGGGATTACAAGGAGTACTTCAGAGCAAATATTTATATATATTTATATTGATTATATATATATATAGATATATATATATAGTAATATACATATATAATACATAGTTACTGGGTGAGTAAAAAACCTGGATTAGCGTTGTTTAAAAATGTTAGCAGGGTTCATGTTTTGAGTGGACCTGGACAAATATTAAAATAAAGTCGCAAAATTCAACAACATTTTGGTACGTTGAAAAAAGGTTCAACAAACATTTGTTTAGAAATTTTTAGTTTTTTTCATAAATCGGTCAGAAATTATTTGTTCTACTTTATTCCAAAGGTTTGCAAAAAAATAATTAATAAAAGAAAGTTACCACAAAAAACGGCAAACAATATCAATACAAATCTGCTCCAAAGACCAAATCTTACAGTTGCACCAAACAAAGATGGTAAAATGTAACTTTCTAAACAAATAATTTAGTTTTTCAAAATGTAATTCATAATAAGGAGAATTTTTAAACGGTAAATACTATTTTGATGTTCTACTACTTGAAATTTGTCGCAGATTTTTCTTATATCTCTTTCTTTTGTAAACAGATTTTCATTACATTTTTTAACTGAAGAGCATAAATATTTTCCAATTTTTTCCAAGAAAAAATACATTTTACAAATAATGTTTCGCGGATATTTTTCATTTTTATGTTTTCAGCCAAAACTTTTGTTGTGTAAACAACGCTCATGTCAATCTAAATACGCGTAATATTGAAATTTTTACTACTTAATTCTGTCTAGTTGACTGTAAGATTAAAGAGTATGTATTCTCTGGATTCCTCCCCGAACAAAACACAGGGAAGAGATGTAGAAAATACACCGTAAACTAAGTACTGAAGTAGTCCGCAGTAAACTGACCAGAGTAAAACCGGTTTTAGTGAAGAGTAAACACTTTGACTAGTACAAGTTCTTTTTGAAAATTACATTACAATGTGTTATAAACCGAATTGCTATTCATGTAAAACTAAATAGATATGTTTTAATATGCTTTGATATTTGTTGTACACATGTCAGAAAATTACTTTAAACTCTATAGTTATTCGAATTAATGTATAAACTTTTTTGCATAAGATAAATTCGCACCCTGATCTCTAATAGTTCTCCTTAAATCTATTTAATTGCAATGCTTTGTTATCATTATTAAAATTAGGTGGAAAAAATAATCAAAACAGCCAAGAGCTATTTTCCACCTAATTACTTTATACTTGTACTGTTAATATAATCATCAATTTGTAAGTGTAAACTCGTTCTGACACAGATACATGTATTTTAGCAATAAACTTTATCTTATCTTATTTTATCTTATCTTATCTTATGGGGTTAGAAATTTGAGTTTGTGGCAAAGACTTAATGCCTTCACGAGTGATTAGATAATTAAACATATTTCATATAAAAAAGAATTAATTAAATTTAAACGTTTTATTTAATCGGCATTGTACAAATTCCAAGGTTAACAAGTCAAATAATTAGATATCTTTACAATAAGTATAATTCATGAAAGGATTTGAAAACAATATTTTATCTTTAATTTATGTTTTCCAAGAACACTTAAAGGAATTGAGTCTTTGTCACAAACTCTGATTTTCTAATCACTATATCTTTGGAACCAAATGTTGTAGACCTTAGATATTTCAAACTATGAATTTTGTTTTGGCTAATATTATAATNAGAACAAGATATTTTCTAAAAAATGCAAGTCATTGAAATTTGCATGTTCATGTTCATCAACCCTTTTCATCTGAGAAGAAACTACTAGTTATACATATCTGTCAATTGATGCAGTGTATCTAGAACTAACTGGAAGGTAACATGTCATTGTCTAAGACAATGTATTAATAAACAAACTTGGTCTAAAGAGATAAAAGATTAGTTGGAAACATCCAACAAAGATAAATGTTTCCTGAAAAACGACTGAAAGAAAAAGCCCTTTAGAACAATTATAAAAAAAATATTTTTTTAAAAATTGTCATGTTTATTTTTTGCGACATCGCGAAAATTCTCCTTACCCTGAAATACACCCATCGTCAGCTGTAGCAAAGCAGGAGGTGGATTTTGCTTCTACCTTCTACAAATAAAACCAAATTAAAAAAAAACAAGAAAAAATGGGTTGTTGCTATAAGTACCAAATTTTTCTCTCCACCTGGTAGAAAACTACATGTTGTCAAAACTTGAATTAGCTTTTGTAACCTTTAAAGATTTATATACAAATATTACAATGTAGTGGAACAGTAACAAATCAAGTTTAAATTCCAATAAATTTATTTAAATCTTGTACACATAAGTGTACTGCAAAACATATGCGCCATACATATTTCGATCTTTGGCCTGGTACATGTTGATATTTTCACGTAAAAAAAATGATTGTATATAATGACTAAAGAACGATATTCTTGAGAGAAATACAAAAAAGGTTGAAATCTATTTTTAATTCTTTTAGCAGCCGAATTTTTCACTTTCCCTTTCTCATAAAGGTTTGCTGGGTACCGTTGTCATTACTTAAAGATGGCAATGTCCGATTTACAACGGTACACTTAAAAACTTTGTCTGATCAAGTAAGAATTGGATATCCATGTTTTTTGCTTTTAAAAGAATTATTTTCATTTGCGGTTTCCCTGCAAAAGTGATTTGCGCATTTCTTGCTTAAAAGAAGCAATGTAATAATTATCAGAATTAAACACTTTTCAACCTGGAGAAAAACAACGGTGTCTTCCACATATTTGATAAGATAAAGTAAATCAGGCATTAAACCATCTTTGCATGGAGGGTCACTTAAAATTACATTAAGTAAAGAATACAGAATACTTGTAATTACATTAAGTAAAGAATACAGAATACTTGTAATTACATTAAGTAAAGAA